ATACTGCGCATGCGCGAAGCCGGAGACGCGATTCGGATTGACGAATATATACACGTACATGTATCTGAGAGAATGCTCCCAGAAACACTATGTCCAGGGTACCCTGCAAGCTAGGGCGTCGTACCATCTTTTACCAGAGCCATAGTAATAGACTTTTATCCCATAAATCTACACACGGGTACCCCCGCTCCAGTTTAAATACATTTTTGAATCAAAATATCAATTATCTAGTGAGTTACTGCGCATGCGCGAACCCGCATTTTAGCGCAAGCAACAGATATCCACATCCAAGTAAGGCCCCGCTGGCGCAATAATACACTGTGCAAGTGATGCAGCCTACTTTTCTTTGCTGGAGGCGGTATAGCTTACAACCGAGGCTTACCACACACTACTATATAGGAGGCCTTAGGCCCCCTTCTTACACAATACTATATATGTGGCCTTGGTGGGCCGCCCGCATACATCACTATATTACAATACTATATAGATGGCATTAGACCATCGTCATATACAATACTATATATGTGGCCTTGGGCCCCCATCATAAACTATTTTATTATTACAATATTATATAGGTGGCCTTAGGCCTCCGCCATACAAATACTATATATGTGGCCTTGGGCCCCCATCATAAACTATTTTATTATTACAATATTATATAGATGGCCTTAGGCCCCCGCCAGACAAATACTATATATGTGGCCTTGGACCCCCATCATACACTATTATTACAATACTATATAGGTGGCCTTAGGCCCCCGTCATACAAATACTATATATTTGGCCTTGGTCCCCCATCATACACTATTCTATTATTACAATACTATATAAGTGGCCTTAGGCCCCCGTCATACAAATGCTATATATGTGGCCTTGGGCCCCCCTACACTATTCTATTGTTACAATACTATATAGGTGGCCATAGGCCCCCGTCATACATATGCTATATATATGTGGCCTTGGGCCCCCATCATACACTATTATTACAATTCTATATAGGTGGCCTTAGGCCCCCGTCATACAAAAATATAACGACGGCAACACTATAACGTGCTACTAATAACTTACCGAGTGCTGCACTGGCGCTTGTCTTGTTTTTTCTCCAATTTAATGCTATATCTATGCCTATGGGTAATACAATCGGCATATACCATGGTAACTTGATTTGGTATTACTAAAATACGTAAACAAAAATAACCATTTTCGGTCGTGGAAGGGTTATTGTCGGAGTGAGCTGACGGGCGCTGGAGGCCACGACGGGGGACGAGGTGGCCTAAAGCCACACTTGGATGTGGTCTTTCCCGAGAGCAATCGTATTTTGCCAAGATTATGCATTTAAAATGAAGAGGAGTGATCCTATCATAGATTTATATGATAACATTCTATCATTAGACATCTTTTAATAAATAGGAGGAAGACCTTGCATGTAATGTCCCCGCTGCGTATACCAGCCAGTACACAATCTGGCTACGTTAGCGTGTTAGCACATGTGCAATATCTCACCAGAGGAGTTATATTTTGTAATGAGTATGCATTTAAAATGGTTAGGGGTATCCCAGCATAGA